ACTTTATTAGTTTCCTTGTAGCAGCAAACCTAGGTACTCGTTAAACCTAATGTTATTAAAATATATTTAATTGAAAATCAATTAAGACAAATAGAAATTCGCTTAGTCGGCAGGTTTGCTGCGGCGGGGGTATTATTTAATCCTCAGAGCGTTATAAGCCAAAGGGGCAAAGCCCATGCTATATATGTATCGGTGAGTTAATAGTCCTAAGCGGATCCTTGCTGTAGTAGCAATATTTTCGTAAAATTTAAGCCCAGTCTGTTCGGTAGTTTTTACTTGATTGAGTAACAAACATACAGACAGACACCATTAGATTTTGATAGATAAATGGCAATAGACAGAGATAAATAGCCTGCCATTTCAGAATCGTCCTTGTAAAGTAATAATGAATATAACGAGATATGTAGTGTCAAAGTATTTTTGCTGGAATAAATTCAGATTACCCTCGACTGTTATTGATGTTAGTAATAAATTCAGACTTTATTAGCGTCCAATGCTTTATTTATTGGACCATGGCTTATTATAAAGTTTCATATTGCAGGAGGAAGGTTTTGAGTGTTTTATCATGCAAATCCTACTTGAAAAGCGTACTCTGCTTCCATCGATAAATTCTTTAGCCAAACAGTTAGCTGAGATAAATGTTTCATAAAAGGGTAGTGACATTTATAAATTAAATAACTAATAAAACATTTTTTTAATGTTGTCATGTAGCAGTTATTAACTCATTGTTACATTATTTATTCCGTATTTGCTATCAACCTAAAATATTGTAAATATTGTAAATATTGTAATAGATTATTTGAAAATGAGGGGTTTTGTTACAAAATATTTCTCTAAGCTGAAGATATTTATATATGACCAACAAAATTGGTTTTTTATGTAACCAAGCAAAATTCTTTTGAGCGTACGTTACGACATGACCTGAGGAAGCTTTATATACATCCTAAAAATTTATGAACGTATTTTAATTTTTTTCTATAGCTTTGTATATGTCAGTGGCATTTTCAATTTAGTAGATTTAAACACTTTTAAGGGAAAGCGCTCCAAACCCAATAAATCCTAACCAATAGGCTAGGAACACACCTTTAATGAAAAGTGAAAGGTATGTTCATTAATTTAAATGTAATATTTTATTCCTAGATTACGATATGACACTTTGTAAAAAGACCGTTTCTAACTATTATTATTATCAAACAACACGACTTATCAATCAGTTTAGTTTTACAAACTCGTTATGTTACTACTTGTAGTTGTATTAACCTAAGAGAAGAATAGGTATGGTATCAATAGCTTATTCTTTATGTTACCACATAGTTTAGCCTATCAATATCTCGTGTAAGACTGTTGTCGCTTACTCACATTCAGGAAGAGCCTACGTCACTCTACTAACTGTTGAAGGTAAAACATTGTTTTGTCCACGTGAACAGCATCATGTGTAAACTATACCAAGTATATAACCGATGTAAGTAGGCATATTTAGTACATATGAATTATGTAAAGTATACGTGGTTCGTGGCCTATGTGACCACAGTCTTGCGTAGTCTTTGTTGAAAAGGACACCAAACACCTGCACCACGTGGCATTACAAACTGTGAGAACCCATTTCATGATAAGTAATATCAATCACAGTTCGTGTAGAGTGTACGTGACGCACAGACTATGGAAACCAATGTAGTGTGGAGGCGCTATCAAGATACCACAAACATGCAGTGAATACGTGACCTCACAGGTTTCAGTACCGGTTTCATGATAGTTTCCCAAACAAAGAACATAATTTGTGTCGAGTTTACGTGACTCACGAACTATGTGACCCATGACGTTCGTATACGTCACATAAGTCATCACAAGGGACACCACACACGTAGTGTTTACGTGACATTACAAACTGTGACACACGTGGTAGGATATCTAAAAACTACATCATCTGTGTTATGCATACTTACTTACTTGTAATACTTGTCGTCTTCGTCGTTAACCAATGAAAATTGGATAGACATAAGTAACTCGCTTTGATACTACGTGGCCCATCTTGTGCGTAGGAATCATTAAGAAGACATCACACACGCAATGTACACGTGAAATTGCAATCCGTAAGACTCTAGGCCTAGTCGTGTCAGGTGGCTTTAAAAAATACATAATCCATGTATTGAATGCGTGGCCCTCGAATTATGTGACACGTGTTGTGCGTAGGATAGGACGTCGCACACACAACCACAAACGTACGTGACACCACAAACTGAGACATCCGTGTCGTTATCGGTGACTTTACAAACTGCAGTATGTGACTTTAATCACATATATTTTGCCCATATATTACATAAATACCCCTGCTGCAGCAAACCTGCTGACTAAGCGAACATCCTTTTGTCTGAATTGATTTTCAATTAAATATATTTAAATAATATTAGATTTAACGAGTGCCTAGGTTTGCTGCAACAATTCAGCTAATAAAGTATATTCTTTAGTTAAAGATTAATAGATTAGAATAAAATAAATAAGTTTGATCAAAATATATCCATAAACAAGCAAACTACAACACTTTACAATATTCTCGATAAGAATAACATGGGAATATAATTTTTTTTTTATTTCTCAATTACTATTAATCACAAAAAAAAAAAACATTCGTACCTATACTAAATTATTTGTTATTTAAGCTTTAAAAAAAGTTAAATTGTTGAGTTAAATTGGAAATTTTGAGGGCCAAAATGAGAAAACCACGCATCTACATATATACAAATTTGAACGAATGGCTTTTTTTTACCTCTGGGGACATCAAAATGAAAAAGTAAATCGGTCCCGGGCCTAGGTCTTACCATGCCACCTACGGTAATAGCTACTTTTCCTATAGGGAAATTCGCAAAAAAATAAATTATTTTCAATATATACAATGAAACAATAAGTTTTGCCAACTTCAAGCTTGACCTTAACAAATCCTGCATTTCGTCTAAAGACAATCATCAACATTTAAACCTTTTTCACAAAACTGTGTCTTTAGGTAGACGAGATTGTTTATACGCTACATTGTTATTCAGTTCTGCTGTGAAGTTGAAGAGATAATCGATATAGATGTCTGAGATTAATTATTAATTCAGGATACTTTTTGTCTGATACATCGATTACCAGATGCTTGTAGTGATTAAAACCGGTGAATATTTGATTATAACTTTGTTGATATCAAACAAGTAGTTTTCTTTAATAAATTACATATCTTTAATAGAGTAAATGTTTGAATTAAATATGAAATCATCATATTTAGTTATTTAAATGCAGTCATTAATCCCAATTTATTTTTACGTTCTACTATTAAGCCCAGCAACTTCATTATCAAGTCTCCACTTGTTTTTGTTTTTGGAAGTGTTATTTTTGTCTTGTAATGCGTAATACGTTATTCTGGTTCCTATATGTGGTCAGAACGTAGTTTCCTTTCTTCGTCTGGAATTCTCCTCCTGTTCTTAGATTTTCCATATCGATTCTAATGTATGTTGGTTAGCATTTGTTTGAACTTTTTACCAACCACCTTATCAAAAAAAGCTAAATCGGTAAGCAAGCTAAAAAAGGTAAAAAGCTAATCGGTAAAAAAGCTAAAAAAGGTTTGCAATCGTTAGTCAGAAGATATTTAGTTACCTTATCGTGATTCGTTTGCACATTACATAAATCAGCCTATGTATATTTTAATATAAACGAATTAATTTAACTAAACATGAAAGATATTCAAATTTAATCCTAAAACTCCCTAAGAAAATGCCAACCTTAGCCAGGTAAACGTATAGGATTTGTCAAGAGCTTTCAATTAGAGTAAGTGGCGCAGTCTACTTTGTGCCTTGTAAAGTAATTACTGCGTCTCAACTCCTTCTCTTCAATTTTAAATTCCACGTATGTATTATGCTAACGACCTTCTCTGTAATTACCTTCATGACTCAATTTACCTCTATGTGGCGTCTCAATTTAATATATAACATATCAGAATAATTCCAAGCGTTAGTTTAAAAATAAACTACGTGATGGACCAAGGGTATGATGTATTGAGCCATTTATTTTGGAGGAATCGGCCAAAAAACCAGGTCACCTCTCTACCCTTGAGTCATAGGACATTTGTTTCATGTACTTTTACGTTGTACCTTATGGATTAAACAAACTTATTAGACTTCCCCAAACGTGGTTTTAATTCAGTGAGGGGTGAGACGGAGTCACAATGTGCATTGGATAATTATCGCTTACAACTCTTCCTCAAGGTAGTCATGAAGGGGAGAGACTTAAGACTGGAGCTAAATACCATGTTACCTCACCAATTACGAGTTATTAGAAGTTCCGGTAATTTTTATTTTGTGAGGAGAAGGTTTTTAACTATGTCGTAAAGTAAATCTTTTCGACCAGACCTTAAGTTTTACGATCGAAACGAATGAAAATGCCTAGGTCTGAAAATGAGCAGGGGTTGAAAAGACACTTCTTACTTGTGATGAACTATATTTTTCGTCATATGACAACATTGTTTAACAAACTAAGAAAACAAAAATATTTCTTGAAAAATATAACCTCTGAACACGACTCAATGTTGCTAATTCAAATTAGCAGTGTTGTATGATTCAGTCATTTCGTCTATTACAATTGTGTGTGTATTGTACGTTATGCTATGGATATGTCGAACAATTGACAGTATTGCAACAATAAGCTACAACCGATTAAATCAATCAATAACTAATTTCGATACATGAAATTCTTTCAATCGAAGTTTACAACTACGTTTGCAAAATCTTGTTTTTAATCCCTAGTGTCTATGGAACTGGGGAAAGATAACGCATACACTAAAAACGGATATTTTTGCTGCAGGATGATGAAATTGTGTTTACACACTGATAGACTCAATATCATCTCAGTAGTAGCATAAAAAGGGACACTGCGGTTTGTTCTAAAGCCGGAGCCGCACTACACGGCAATGATGTGCTGTTAGTAGGCCTACAATTATTGGAAAATACAGTTATGTGTATTGTTATTTCTAGTGTCTATTATGGAGGCGGAAGCAGTCATGGAGGGGGTGGCCAAGCTACCATGTGATCTTTCTATCCCTGAGCCATCGGACGTGGTGACGTTGGTGATATGGTACAAGGGTGGTACGAGAACGCCAATTTACAGGTGGGACTCAGTTCACTGTTTGTCTTACTAATTAATTATCTTCTTTACAAATATCAATATTAAACATTTCTCAGGTTTTCTTTCATAAATAATTAGTTTTATAGGAAGCAGTTTTCGTTAAAAATACAATTGCTTTCAGAGGACACACAATTCATTTCTTCATGTGCAAAGAAACAGTTATTACAGTGCAATCTACTATGCATATTCTAATGATAGGTTTCTGCTTTTTATCAACCCGAAGGACAACATACCTGTAAAACAGGGGTTAACAGAATGACAAAGTGTTGTATTGCTATCACGATGTTAATCAAAATATTTCATGAATAAAGTATTAACGTCATATAACTCTAGATTAGTCAAAATGTAATGATTGGAGATGGTATTTCTATGGTACAGGGGGTCTCATAAGTAAAAAAGTAAACTTCGTGAAATGGCTATGGGTAAAAAAGAATGGTTATGAAAAATTAAGAATGAAATTTTTGTCCAAAAATGTGTTCTTCGCTAGAAACGTAGTTTTGTTTTTTATATAAACATCTTAATTTTTGTTTTGTTTAACCGACGTTTAAGAAACTCAGTTTTATTTTAAGATTAAAGAAACCTATGTTGGGGAAACATTTGTTTAGTCCAAATTTAATTTTAAAATGGTGGCTATTTTATTGTAATACCCTTATTTACTAAAACATATCTAAAGTGTTTTTTTTTATATTTCAAATATCCTATCAAATAACACAAAGCTGACATCAGATGGGTAGCATTTCAAATACCAAATTGGACAAACTTTATTTTCTTTCTACCACAGCTGTCATCTACTTTAAAATTAGTTGTAAGTTTCATTCAGATTAGTTGGAAAACTTAAAGATAACTTAAGGTTTATGTAAAAAAATAATTTCTTGAATATTAAGTTAATATCTTTCCTCACCAGCATGGAAACCCATAACCCTCATGCTATTTTTTAAATTTTAAATCAATATTTTGCTTATTTTTGAGTCAATTTTATTTGGAAGGGATTTTGCACGTCTACAGGAAAATATCTTTGTAACAGCATGCGTAGAACTTCCCTGTGATGCACACGAGCTGAGAAAAAAGGTTTTCAAATAACGTAATTTCCTATTAATATACAAGATAGTTTTTTTCACTTATGATCTTTTAAAGTTTTGACCAATGAAAACATTTTTCAGAGCTTTACTATTTACTAAACTATTTTTGGTAAAATTTGAACAGCTATTATAAAGGATGTCAGGGTTTTTAAATGTCTATAACAAAAGCTTTTGAGTTCTTAACACTTAATTTGTAGTTAGCTTTTAAGTCTCGTATGTTTGGCACAAAACCTCAGTACAGTATTTACCACCTGAGTGGTTTACACAAAGCATCGTGGAGGCTGGGATTAAATTGTTGGGAAGAGGATTTTAGAAACGTATTACGCAACAACATAATTATCTGTCTACTCTACTACATGTCAAAACATTCATGTAGAAGAAGAACCATTAATGGGCAGTTTAGTGCATGCACTCAATTTTAATGACTGTATTTTTATATATTGAAAGCAAAAGTGATTTAGGATTATTTGTTTGCTGGTTTAATTATTATGTAACATAAATGGTACTAACTACATTATTTTACTATTTCTAAATTTGTCAAACATATAATGAGGATATATAAAAATCATTTTTGGAGGATATTATTAGGAGCCAGACACTTGATATGATGTTAATAGTAGTATTTTTGTATTTACTTTCCGATTGTAAGAGGAAGATTAGAGAAACAACAACAACAATTAGAGAAACAAGAATAGTAAAATACAGCTTAAGGTAATTGTACATAAACATTGTAAATATTATAATTAGTGATTTTATTAAAAGAAAAAATCAAAGAAATGTACACTGTCATTTTGATATTTTATCAGTGCAGAAAGGGTGGTAATCCCTACTCTATAACACAAACAATTTGGATTTTACCAGTATTGCAGACTAGTATCGGACAGTTGGTAGATTGGAGTGGTTCTAGACAGGTGACTTATGAGTTCTTCCAGTGCAAATCTTGACTTTTGTTCGTCATCAAATTAGATAAGCTGAGGACTGTGTTTTATTTTATATATTTTTTTAGTTCTGTTTTAAACATTTTACTTTTAGACATTTGCTGTATGTGTGGGTTCATTTTGCCTGCCCACAAGCATACTAGAGCCAAAAAGAAATTTTCAAAGAGGCAATTTTTATCTAGAGGCAAAAGCAATTTTAAGAGAAGTTGGTTTTGAATGCTACCGAGGATTTGAATTCAAATACGAATAAATGCTAATGAGTAAGAAATAAATGTAGGCCTTGGACCTTGATGAATTACAAGAAAATAAACAAAAGGCCATTTTCGTTAACATTCAATTGCCGTAGCTTTAAAAGCTCAGTTTGTTGGCGTTTAAATAAATGGAGCTAATACGATTCAACAAATTTAAATATTTCATAAATAAATAAATAAATAAAATAAATAAAAATGCTTTTATTTGCGAGCGTCTTTCAGTACAAGAACTGTTTTACAAAGTGACTCTTGTCAATATAACTAACTTAAAAATATACAAGAATTATAATACAAAACACTGTGTATGACAAAACAAAATTATAATCTACATCCAGGTTTCAAGCAGAAGTTGTCTTATTATCATCAATTGATATATGGCATTACGTTTCAACCTTGATGTGATCATGATTTAGCTTAGACATACGAGACCGGCAGTTGTCGGATGGCTCGCACTGGTCCGAGAAACGTATCCTCGGAGGTCGAGCGTACTACACGACCGAGCCTCCCTACTCCTTCCTGATACTGGAGAGCATCAAGGAGTCAGACGCGGGTGTGTACCGCTGCCGAGTAGACTTCAAGGTCTCGCCTACAAGGAACTCCCTGGTCAACCTCACCGTCATAGGTAGGTCTACCTCACATATTGTGTATTCAATAGAGTGGTACACTTAGCTAGGAATAAGCTACACGAATACTTAGTGTAATGAGTGAAGGAAAACTAACACAAAGCTTACTAAGACGATAATAAATGTTTTGAAATGTCATCTTTAGTTCAGATACCACAAAATTTATGGAAACAAATAATTTAAAAATTGACCTGATAAAAAATATTATTATAAGGAATAATTACACGTATCTTTAACAATAACGAGGTTGCTAACGAAATGCGGAATATAACACTTCACTCAAAATCTTTCAAGATATATAAGCCAACATATATATAACCCCATAACATATATAAGGTATTGAAAAACCTTTATTACAAGCATGCTTTATCAACTCTAATTTTATGTACTTTTTATACGTTATACAAATGTTTTTCAAGTCAGCAAAGAATTCCTTGGTTTGCACTTGTGTTTAAACACAATAAGATAAATAAATACGGATTTACCCCAACAATTATTGGAAAATTATAAAAAAAACTACTATGTACTGGCTGCACACAGATGATAACTATTTTATTCCTTTCGTACATTTAAGGAGAATCTGCAACAAATTTGTTTCAGTTCCACCGAAGAAAATTGTTCTAACAGACTCGACGGGTAATGCCATACACACGTCGAATATTGGCCCTCTGCATGAGGGAGATATCTTAAAGCTTACCTGCGTTGCGTCTGGGGGTGAGTTAATTAGGTATTATTTAAACAAAATCCATAATTTTATACAATGAAAAATAATGAGAAAAACATTTTAGGTATAGTTTTTAATCTTACTGGTATGACCAAGACAACAAATTCTCAAATTAGGAGACCCTTTACATAACAATACTTAAGTTATAAGACTTGAAGTTGTAATAATATATAATAATAATAGTTAAGACTAAAGCACATTTAAAACAGGAAACGCATAGTAGAATTTTACACGAGGAAAACAATCAAATGTTTACACATTAAGTTAGGTGTAAATTAACTTATTAGTTTGAATTTCATTTAAATAAGAATTGTTTATGAGCTTCCTTTCAAAACTTTACATACTCTAATTCCCAAACTACATCTCAACTCTAAGAGAAATGTTGAGAGAGGCTGCCTTACGTTGGGAAAATATGTCATTTTGAATTAGCACTGCAAGAAGAAATATAATTGATAAATATTTAAGAGTAGAAGAACTTTGCACGTAAATTATGCACGTCAGAGAATGGTTATAAACACACGTGCTAAAAGACGAATAATCTAACTCTATGGTATGTAGGTTCAAATATGTAACTGTAAGAGCTCTTTCAAGTCTCGGTCCCGAAGATTATTTTTTTACTCATTCGCCTGTCTAGCAAAAAAATTGAATTGTGTTTATAGGCCATCCAGAGCCCGAAGTGACGTGGTGGAGGGATGGTATTCTCGTGGATACGTCCAGCGATGTGCTATCAAACCGCAGGGTTCGCAACTCTTACGCTCTGGAAGGATTACAGAGGGAGGACCTGAACAGTCGCCTTACCTGTCAGGCCTCCAACAGTCCTCAGCTCGCTCCACTCTCCGCCACTGTCACCATCGACCTGTACTGTGAGTGAATAGTAACTTAACAGCTATAATTCAATGTAATAATCTTAATTATATATGAGAAATATACTATAGTACAATATAAAGATAACTTGGTAAAAGGAATCATGTACGTAAAACCTCGTAGTATTATACACACGTATGACTTCTAGCTTAGTGATAGTATCTAAGTGCAAATTTGCTACTTACATATAAAACATTGACAAATGATATACGATTTATATAATAGTAAATTAGAAATAATAGGATATATCAATAGTGATTACTGTGAAAAACCCTTCACACGATGGATGTTTCATGTAAAATTACAAATAAATACTGATCCATTTATCCATTTTTTGTTGCTGGTAAGGGACCAGAACAGTAATAATACTTCCGGAGGATTTGAGAATTCCAGACTCGTGTTTTACAAATAATTCAAGTCATAAAAATTCACAAAGATAAACAGAGCCCAAGTTTAGTGACAGTAAAGAAATAAAGTGGTCGAGAGTTTCCAGAGGCGATTTGTTATAACTCCTCGTTGGTGAAAGACAAATGGCCCACTTAGCGACTGATGTTAGTTTGAAACAAAAGTGGGGTGGAGAGGTCTCCACTGGTCCAGTTGTCTCTTTTTTGGTACTTACTGTAGTCCAACCCCTTAAATCATATCTGTCTCTATATTCGGATGATATCCTCGATTTTTAAAGCCCTAATAATTATTAACTATTTCGTTTGACACAAAACAAACAATAATTTTACTAGAGATGCATTAAGCCTCCATGTAATACGATTGAACGAATTCTCACAGAAAATACACTTTTATTGTAATTTTTATTGTCAGGGTAGACTTGTTGACGCAACGAATGTATCCCCAACGTTTATCACGAACGTTTAATAAAATGATTCCAGTAGTGAATACTGAATAGTAGGGTAAAATAATGAATAGCCAAATGACGAGTAGCCTATATGTAATAGGTTTACGACAATAAATCTGTTAAATTGATGTTTTGTCCCATTAGATTATGATGAACAATCATGTACCTCCTGTATAGACTACTGAGAAATTACATTTTTACTTTAATACAACGAAATACTGTTATAGTGGGACCTCTAGAAGTGCGGCTAATTGGGCCGAACACTGCCTTGAGTGCAGACCAAGAACACGAAGTGACGTGCAGAAGTGCCGGCTCCAGACCACCCGCCACTATCACATGGTGGAAGGGAGGGAAACTGCTCAACTACCCGTCCAAAGTTACTGTAAGGACCAACCCTTACCAAGCTTACATCATGTAGTTGAAGGATCATGTATCCATTTTCACAATCTAAAGTATGAAGATAATCAGTTAAATATAGCCTTACCACTTAGATATGTATTTTTAGAGGGAATAATAGACCTAATGGCATAAAAATTACACAAAAAAGGAATATTCTGAATGTTTAATATTGCTTCCATAAAAGAATAATGATTTTATGATGGCCTGTAAACCAGGTATTTTTTAATGGATTTTTAATAGTTTGAATTTGTATTGTTTCCCGTTGTCAAGAAAACGGCATTTAATTTATTCTTTCAACTATATTGAGTGCCAAAGGATTAAACCATACATGTGGTCTGATTAACTTAGTTATCGAATTGTTAATCAACCTTTAGTATTAAAATATATATTACTATTTTAATAGTATTTTAAAAATAAATTTGCTTGTACTGCACTATTTAAATACTGTTTTTTTTCAGATAGTTTATTATTATTATCAACTTAATCTTGGAAAAGGAATTAACTAAACGATCGAACTGATTGTCCTATTGTATCATATACTTTACTCTTTAATTATTTAACAAAACTCAAACGTTGTTGAAATTTTCGCCTCTATCCACGCTCTACGTTCCCTGATGTTATCCTACAGACAAGTGGAGAAGGAAACGTGACAACCAGTGTCCTGGAGCTGAAGGTGGTGAGGAAGGATGCAGGAGTTCCGTTGTCCTGCAGGGCTACCAACCCCCACGTACCTGGTAGTGCGCTGGAGGACTCATGGACTCTGGACGTGAACTGTAAGTCAACCGAGACTGTTGTGTATTTTGACGTAAATGCGTGTAGTGTTTTTATAGTTTTGTTTGCCATCTAACATAATTATTCAGAAACAAACCTACACAAGACATCACACTCCATTCCACTAAAAAAGATAGTTCGTATTATACATTTTAATTTATTTACTGTAAAAAGTGGATATTTTTACAAGTTAAATATTTGTCACTATATATTTTCAAATTTTATTGTAGGCCTAGGGGAATAAAAAAAAAGGTAGGTTATAAGATATTCAACAGGAAATTAACAAAGTGAGTATAATGGGTTCTTATTATACTAAAGTTTTCTTTTCCATTTTTGTTTTTGCTTGAAGGTTTTGCAATTTTAACCACAATATATCTTTACTAACGTTATATAATATTATATTACTGAACGATTTATTTTTTTATTAGTGATTAAGGTTTATGTTTGAAAGAAAGACGAGTTTTGGAACATCTAATTTTATAACTAAATGTGGTTTTCGTATAAGAGATACATCTGAGTGCGGGTATAATCGGGGCAATCTGTTGAAAAGCAAATACAAGTTATAAAATAAAACGTTTAATTAAAAACAAAAATCTTAGGTAAGGTATACTCATGTTTCGACCATATTTTATCGTGATAAACTACAATAACAATAAAAAATATATATTGAAGAGTACATTACTGCGGTTGGTGAAATGGAAATATAATTGGAGCAAGGACAAGTAGATTAAAGGCAAGGGGAAATCAGCGGATCAGTTAATTCTCTTGTTTTAATTTAAGTTTGAAAAACGTTATTTGCTTGATCAGTTGTAATAACAGTTTGATACTTAATATACAGACTGATGAAAGGGTAAACGTTGGATTTTGAGATGTTGAACTGAGGTTTATTAACAACAATAACATAGTCCCTTGTGTGCGGTGTTTGTTTGTATATATAAAGCCTAATAAGTAAATTTATTAATTGAGAGATTAACCGGAAAACCTCTTACCAATACTGGTATTTGTTGTACAATAGTAGAACATTTGTACAATGGAAGGAGCAGCATTAACAAGTCATCATCGTAACCTTGTCTTACTTTATACAGTTTGCGTAATGATTCAAAGAAAATTCCTACTAAAATATATGTTCAAAAAATATCGTGTATGTATATATTTTACATTTACATCCAAAGCGTTACTGAAGGATAGTAATAAATAGCACGATTCAGGAAATAGATATGTTTGGTTTGTGTGGTGTTTGCTTTTTAAAATCTATATATCTAGTGTTATTAGTTATTACTAGAGGACCCATGATGTTCCACAACGTTAAAATAAATAACATATCCGAGAAATAATCAAACTTGGAAAAAGAGTTCTCGCAAACATAGAGTATTCTTGCTAACGGAATTTTATAAATGAAGAAACATTCAAATAACCTTTACGACGGAATGCAATGTGACACAATAACTTTCAATCTTCTCTGATAATATTTCATAAATATTACTCTTAACATTCACTCAAAAATGCCATGAACCGATTTCGTTTAATTTTCTTTTCCATATTTTTCAAAAAATGACAAACATACAATTTTGAACACACTTTTAGTTTGGTTATTACAATTGCAATTGAAATATAACTGATTAACATGCATATGGGTTTGTGTTCATATATCACGTCTAAGTTACTTAGTCACCTTACAAGTATATATATAAAAAAAACTGTATATCATTGAATATAGAGTATCGAAAATCATATTTTTTGTAATATTCTAATGTTACCCCAGCTTAAATATTCCTTGCTAGGAGAATTATGTTAGAGCTCTTCGATTTTGAAAATGCATTTGGCATGGTTACTTAGATATAAGCTGACATGCAACATGGATATAATATATAACATTTCTGTTTGTCAGATGTGCCAATAGTAGACATTCGACTAGGGAGCAATATCAATGCGTCCTACATCAGAGAGGGAATGGACGTGTACTTTGAGTGTCAAGTGGAAGCCAACCCTCGCATACGAAAACTGATTTGGATTCATAATGTGAGTCTCCGTCTCAGACCTGGATATTGAATTAATTTAATATTGATACAAGATTTATAGTCTATCAAATCCTATTGGTATATATATCAAATCCTATTGAATATTTTATGTGAATTATAACGTTGTTGTGGTTTATGGAGCTTAGAACTGGAAATTTTTTTAGTTGAATTAAACTGACTTCACTTATGGACTAATAGCTATATCATCGTCACATTCTTAATCCGCTCTACCTTTATAGGACATTTGATATTTTGAGCGTTTGTTTTATTTATGATATATAGTTAATATTTTGAAAGACTATAAATAAAACACGTACTCAGCACTTTTACCTTAACTGCTAACTGAAATATGTGTTTTTGTTTTATGTTTCCGTATGAAAATCAACTTTGTGTATAGAAATTGAAGTAAATTTTGTCATAAGATCTCAATAGTTGCTATGAAATATAATTAACCTAACGTTTGAAAATATTTATTTTATTGTTTTAAAATATGACTTTGATTTATTACAGACGTAAAACTAATTTTTATTAACATTTAAATGGTTAAACGTATACAAGCGGGCAATGGTAAAATAAACTAACAAAGACACGACTGATTTTCAACTAAAGAATGATTTCTAAATGTGTCCAACAAACAATTGCAATCCAAATGTAATTAAGATACAAAGAGTATTTATAAGACACCTACACTACAGGTTTTAAATTTTATATTCTTGGAGCTGAATTAATTCCAACCTACTCGAAAGCACTATTTTAAAATTAAAATGTGTATCCAACAATAAATCATAGAAAGGAAAAAAATACATACTTTAACGGTAATAATGTTATGGACAATAGTTGATAAATGTTTAAAAAACAAAAACCAATTTATTATTTTGGATGCAGATTGGATCATTTATATTTTACTTAATTATAATGGTTATAAAATATCAAATCTAATGACAACAGACTAAGTAACTACAATGAAGTTGTACTTTTATAGAGTTTGATGGGTTGTTCATTTTGTTAAGAGCTGTTTATTATATGACGGAAATAACTACAAACTACGGAGAAAAGTACATTTTTGTATCAAAGAGTCAATATTAATATATTTTTAACATGTTTTCTAGGGCATGATGGTGTACAACAACGCCAGTACTGGCACTATCATTACCAACCACACACTTGTACTACAGTCCGTCAGTAGGAACAGCTCTGGCCTATACTCTTGTGTAGCAACAAACTCTGAGGGGGACGGCGAGAGCAAGCCTTTCGACCTCAATGTCAAATGTAAGTATAAGTAAAAGGTACAGGGAGTTCTACAGTATATAAAGCACAACTGGATTTATCAAATTATACATACTTTTATAAATTATACTGTACGTAACATTAAGTACTCATTTTAGTAGAATAAGTGCAATAATGTCTGTTACAGTTGAGCCAGAATGTCTGGGAAGTCAACAGCGTGTGTACGGCGCGGCGAGGATGGAGGAGATCTCTATAACATGTGACGTGGAGGCCAACCCTCCTGCGGCTTGGTTCCATTGGAGCTTTAACAACTCGGCAGTGCGAGCTCGTGGCGTGGACTCCTTCCAGAGTATCGGGGGCGGTGGTCGTAGCGTCGCCAGGTACACTCCCCTCACTGACGCTGACTACGGCACGCTGCTGTGCTGGGGCAGGAACGAACTGGGCTCTCAGTACTTACCTTGTGTTTTTCACATCGTTCCTGCAGGTCAGATTTATTTTGCACTATCAAAAGAATAACATCGTATTTAGAAGGGTCTTAGCTTACCATTTAACTTAGTTTTTATCTCGGAATATGAATAATATAATTATATATTTATATGTTTTGTCTATATAAAGAATAACATCGTATTTAGGAGGGTCTTAGCTTACCATTCAACTTTGTTTTTATCTTGAAATATGAATAATATATATATTGATATGTTTTGTCTATATATCTATGTCTATATATAGAGAGAGTATTGTATTGCCAGTGGTCATTATTATCTCATTTAGTGTATTATATTGATCTGTATTTTCGAACAAAGGAAATAAAACAATAGTTAGGGAGATGCAAATGCACGGTCCAGAAAAAAAAACCTGTATTTCCTTTTTACTGTACTTACTACTGCTCAGCTGTGTTTTGCAGTCGTCGTCTGTAGTGTAATTAATTGTGTTTTTTTATTTTTTATTAATAACATGTGACGAACAATTAGCTACTTTAAAGACAATTTTGGCTGAGACCAGTAAACAAAAATGGATAATCATGTATGACTATCATAGTTCCTAACTTTTTTATCCAAAGCGGCGTTTTAATCAAAACCTAATTCCACAGGTAAACCAGACCCACCATATAACTGCAGTGTTGCATCAGTCAGCCTAAGCATGGCGAACGTGAGCTGCGAGAGAGGGTTTGACGGAGGTTTACCTCAGGAGTTCCAAGCCGAGGTGTGGGTCCGAGGCCGCCTCACAGCCAACCTCACCAACAGAGACGCTCCAGAGTTTAGTCTGACAGAACTGGAGCCAGGGACCTCATATGACGTCACAGTATACTCCAGCAATGGCAAGGGACGTAGTCACCGAGGGACGCAGATCACGGCAGCCACACAAGATCCGGGAACTACTCTCCTGCCTAGTAGAAGCGCAGGTAAATGTCCATGATATAACTGGCTAAATCATATCATATTGAAAACTACCTTCGTAATTTATATAGAATATATTATATCCATGTCATGTCAATAGTAGTGCTAAAAACTAAAAGCTACGAACTGGTAGTTTAAATATAAATGCAAAATATTCCGGCCTTTTAAATTAAATACTGTGTGATAAGCGTACTAAAGATATTAGAGTTGTATACTTTGTCACGTTGTTACATTAGCAAATTACATACATACGTATGAGCGGTGTTTAATCACTACGCAGCTGTATTCCCTACTGACAAATTTTAAATTCGCTTTGCTTTTAATTAAATTGTTTGATGAGTTTCTTGGATTTATACTTTACTAGTATACTATCTTCGTCTAGTACATTAACTTTGTCACATGTTGTCTGGTCATGGTTATATATTGAATCTCAGTGCCAATAGGGATCACTGTCTGGCATCGAACCTCAAAGATGTGTAACCTGACTGTTCAAACACATTTGTCAGGGGACTTGAGAAGGGTAGGTTATCCTGGTAAAAAGACTGGGCCAGTGCCAGGTCTAGAAAATCCCGCCTCAAGCAATGGTAAGTTATATCTTCATCCTTCAAAAAAATGTGTTTGTACTTTATGTACAAGTCCTTCCATATTCTAAACAAGGAAGACATTTTTCAAATAAAACACATGCCTCAATGATATGAAATAAAATTTTACTATGGCAATGATACATATTTTTTACAAGTATTACAAACATTTTATTCCCGTACGTAGTGGATAATTGATTTAAATGTTATAAACGCGTTAAAATACCTCCTATTTAGAAACATCTAAATTAAGACAACTATAGCTAAATGTTTTATTTTTATTGTGTAACTACTGTAAATAAACATTGTAAAATTTTATGCGTAAAAAAGATGTAAAATATTTGTTCAACTAAATTATTAAAACGTCATATTATATGTGTGTCCTACTCATTTCGGATTATGAAGTAGAATCAAGGGGGTCTGTGATCAAAATGATTTATTATCACCCTCTGTGAAATGTTTACTAACATGGTTGAAATTGCGTTTATTTCGTATAGACTGCGCATACATCTAACTCCTACATCATAATAGAATCTGAAAATAAAGAATATTATGTAACGGAACATTCCCTAAGTATATTATTGAATGTTGTCCATACATAGCTTACAAAAGAAATGTATTTAAATGAAAAATCGCCAAGCTTACACGTAAACAATATACAATAATAACACAATGAATAGAATATTTAAAAAAAATCTTTAGACATTTTCATTTCCAATCAATCATTACTAGACACATAGACCAAAATTCAAAGTTTGTAATGTTGGTATTTATTGTTTGTCTAGATGAGGAGAGCCTACTGAACGTAGAGGAGCTGATCCTATTGGCTGTTGGGTCGGCTCTAGGCGTGTTGCTTGTGGCTGTCATCGTGTTGAGCGTGTTGAAGCTGAGACGATCTCCTCCTCAACCTACACTGAACAAGAAAGTGACTCAGATACTCGCGGTCGCCACTCCGTCCTCTAACATTGACGACGACAGGAACCCCGACGTCATTCCGCAGAAAGGTGCGTTTCGCTTTAAGGTAACGTCGTGTATATTTGTGTTATGGATGTTGGCGGGAAGATCTAGTCATGAAAATACTAGAGTGGTTAGCTGAATCATGAACTTAATTGACCCGTGGTAGGAGGGTGGGAATGAAGGGCTGCTTTATTGCCGGAGTCTATCCGGGTTGAGTATCCTAATGAGTATGATCCTAATAAATTAAGTAATTCACACCGGAGAAGCAAAAGCAGTGAGTGGATAATTTAATATATGCCGAGAATATATGCGTGGTTCCACTGGAGCTTTAACAACTCGGCAGTGCGAGCTCGTGGCGTAGACTCCTTCCAGAGTATCGGGGGCGGTGGTCGTAGCGTCGCCAGGTACACTCCCCTCACTGACGCTGACTACGGCACGCTGCTGTGCTGTGCTACAAATAGATTTTTAAAATTGTATTAACTGTGTGACAAAATGATACGTTTCAAACCCGTTCGCTCTACTAATTACAATCAAAATAATATTTTTAAGTTATTATAAATCATTTTTAATTCCATCCGTTTTCTGTAAATTAATATTTGAATTAAATAAAAGTTATGTGTAGAATATACGATTGAAATGGCAGCATGTACAATCAACATGTCAAAACGTGTAATACATCTCAGGTACTTATTTAATAATACTTAAGATATGAGTGACTAGACTGATTTGAATAGTCAATAACTTGTCTTTTGCAGATGTCGATAACTCCGTGACTCAAGAGATTGACATGAGGGATATGAGATGTGAAGATCCTCAACCTCCAGGCTGGGAGACGTCTATTTGCATCACACCTCTCAATCCTTACCACGCCCCGAGGGTGAGCTTATATTGATATATATTTTGTTTGAATTAAAATGTCTGTATAAGAAGTAATTTACAGTCAAATACCTCTGTATATTTACAAGTATATCATATACATAAAACTCAAGAGTTTAATCTTAGTTTACTTTTAGTATGAAATGAATAAGAATTTTCTAAATCAAATTACTATAGCTTATTGCATTTATTACGTTTTAAAATGTTCGTCTGGCTAATCTGACAATACCTGTGATTTACAATAGAAGTATTTTGTATGGATGGTATTTTAATAAGTAGGTATAGTAGATTTTGTACAGTTTTACATTAGTGACGTAAAATAAAAAAAATACAAACGAATGAACGTCGCGTCATGGCAAAACGATTAAAGAAAGATGAATATAATATAAATTAATAAATGCAGCTTTAGCGTTATTATACACACGATTATCCAATGTTTCGTAAAATATGATTTATTGAGTAAACATTATTTTATTTCTTAAAACTAGCTGTTACTCGCGGGCTTCACCCCGTTTGAGTTCATAATTATTAAAACCCCCCTTGACTAAATTGTCAAGCACTACTATTGATTGCCGTAACGCGTTGGGTGACATGTCGAGTGACTTTTTATGTTTAGTACTTCGAAAAACATCATTGGAATTAATAAGCTGTTAGGGCAGAGCTCTAGGAAAGTACTACAATAAAAGATTACTATCTTCATTAAGCCTGTGGTTATATTGGCTCTATTCATGTAAAATCTGCTCAATCGGTCAAGTAGTTTTTACGTTTTCACAGACATTCATATATATATAATATTAGTTCCTTTCCATCACTACTTTATTCACTTTCTAGTCGTTGACTTGATCCGTGATGCTCTAAAATTATTAACACGCTACTCCGTTTCCCAGACATTATTTTTGGGAAAACAAACATGTTACTTTTTTAATAAACTAAAATAAAAATGAAGAAATTAGTTGAAGAATTATGGACTTAAAATAAAATTACCCTAATCGCACAATACCACAACAATTTAGTGCTTGACAGTTATCATTGTGTATCACAGCTTAATTTTACTGTTTCTTTAAATTAGCTGTTATAATAAATTCAAACAAAATTGTAATAGTGCTGCACCCTGTTGCACCTTGTAACTTTATAATGCTATTGAACATCATAGAACCAACTAGTTTAATTGAAACAGCGGGGTATGATTCATTAATGCTTTTTAAATATAAGCAAGGTTAACATAGGAAACTCCAGGGCCACTCGGGCGAAGCCCGAAAGTCAGATCAAAATAAAAACTACTTAATTTTCCTATTTAATACCTTAAAAAATCAGTGTACCAAATTTCAGTTATCTAGGTAATGGGAAGTAGGTGAATTAGTGATGAGTGAGTCAGTCAGTAAGGGGTTGGCTTTTAATAGGTATAATATATATAGATTTCATTATATATTTCACAGGAAACAAGTGATAGTAGTTAATAATAGGACGTTTGTCTCCAAAAGTTAAATACTACCTCGGATAAGATATTTATGTCGATTTCGTATTTTCAGCACAAAGGGATGAAGACCCCAGGACTGTGGGAAGGAACCCTATGGTCTAAAAGTCAAGATTTGAACGCTCTGAGGCACGTGGAAACCCAGACCCTCCAGAATGCAAGCAGACCAAAGGAGAGTGCCGTCTAGCAGGTTATTCAGATATATACGAACGTAGTATACACATTCTAAACATATTCAATATGCAATAAACGCTTTTGTAAATTCAAGAACTCTTTAGGCAGAATTTCACTATTTTGGAGATATAAACTGATGTAGATTTTTCTCACAAATGGTTGGGCTCAAAACTTATGAACGTTACAATTTGTGGTAACAATTGTTATTGTGGTGCATAAACTCTATATTCCATAAAAACGATCATTTGTCACCTGTAACTACACGTTAAGTTCAAATAGGGACTGAAACGGCCCATTAACATTTCGTCGCCTTTCACAAGTAAAACTCTTTTGTATGGTCATAAAAAAAGAAAATGAAACAACAATTTGAGAACTTAGGTTACACTAAAACTAAAAATTTATATTAACCATAATATGATTTTTGAAAACACATTACATTGATGTTGACCGGAAAATAAATCGATCCATAACATAAGCTTACAATTGTAAATGACTTTTCATTCAAATGTCATAAAAAAATTCAGCCAAGCAAATTTAATTTATTTAACCTGAATGTAATTTAAATTAATTATAGTTTTTCTGATCATGAAACTTGGATATTACTTACAAGGACTAATGATTTGGATAATATTTATTAATATTAAAACTAAGAAGGTCAAGTAGAATTTTCCAAATTACTAACTCAAAATAAGTTTTAATTATAACAAATATTTTGTGCAAACAAAATCAACTGCAGTAATATATCGTGTTAACTGAAACACATAAACGTGCGTGATAGTAAATAATCACAACCACACATGCTTTATGGATTGAGTAAATATTTCATGCTGGTAATGTTATGTTATATAGTCCATAATAACTGTGTTAGTGGTGTCAATATTATCACTACACAGAATAAATCAGTAACCTAACCATAGGCCTAGGACGATAAAGTAAATTTAAAACGTATGACTCATAGAATAAAATTTACGTTGACAATTTGAACTATTGGGTCTAAAGTCTTAAAAAGAATCGCATTTTTAGATTAGGCCCACCCTCTAATTCTCGTCCCCTTAAAAAAGTAAACCACCCAATAAGTTAATGGTCATATGGCGATCTGATTAAAATATAAGTTTTCTTGTAAGGTTGACAACAATGTTACCACGACAGAAAATAAATTTAAGATACTTACTACGGTACTAAATTAGTAATTTTATGAGTTAATATTAAGTAATTACGAATCATTCATATGAATCTATGTTATTGAAACGAGGTGTTAGCCCGTCCTACGTACGGGAGTAGTCAGTTAAAACTGTGTATAAATCAGAACAGCTAGCTTACACGTATCAAGAAAAATTCTATAGCAGCCTACAGTAGAAAGAGTAATTATCAATTGAGAAAGTGTATAGGCCTAGTCAACGATATCACCTTCCAATTCCATCGCATACCTGCCTCTTCCATAATCAATATCAACACAATACAATTACTCATACTATACACTATTTCCGGTAGGTCTGAATAGAAACTCCCTAAAATAAAACGAAAACATCCAATAAAATTCACAGTACACATAATTATAACGTTGGTGTCCTGACATCATTAAACGAATCGTCCACACATATCCTTTATATCAATTTCACTTCATCAATTGCTAAATAAATAAGTGTAAACATAGAAAAGTAAAAACAACAACATATAGTTTGTTTTGGTAAACAGCTGAGTCAAAAATAAAATAATATTCATTTGATCAAAGAGTTATAGTTTCATTTGATATTCATTTGAACTGGTCACATGTTGAAGGAATTTAAAACGTAAAACACGCTAGTAAAGCTAGTGACGTAATTAATTGTCTATGTTTATTATCCATTCCGTTATCAATTCTAATATCCTTAATAATTAAACCACCCTCATTGAATCAATGAAAACCGTAATTCCCCATATTCATTTATTTAAACTATAAAATATTCAGCGCCTCCAAACGTAACCACAACTAAACACATGCCAAACAACTTTTTAGATTTCATAAAAGGATGGTTAGTCTTATTGCAGTATCCTAGGTCAATGATGACGTTGTGCTCAATCTATGTCATTTATATCTGTATATCTTTGGATAAAACCCGTCTGGGTTGTGGTGGTAATTTAAAATTAAATTCCTGAGGATTCTTGATCTCCTTCTTTATGACATCAATATTTCCGGGCCTAATCCAAACAAAGTTTAGTCATTCAAAAACATTGATTGTAAACAAACCAAGATGAATTAAAACGTGTAAAAAATGGATTTTCCTACCCTTTCCTAGAAAAGTTGAGTAGTATAATAATTTGCATATCCTTTTTTTAAGACTCGTGTACACACACCTCGACTTGTATACATCGATGGTGTTACTTTTCTCGGTGGTCTACTAATCTTACTTATTTCCTAAAAATCAATGACAAATCAGAGTAAATAAAATAACCTCATAGTTCTACAGAGCATTTTTATATTTAACCAGCTGTTAGTTAAAAGAAAATTATGTTGCACTAAAACAAACCGAAGATTGCAAAGATTTATTTAAAAAAATCCTTTGAACATCCTAGTATTTTACCTATGTATATTTAAATAATCTGTCATCCTCTTATCAAAGGATTGAACGTATCAATGATTAGCATTACACATAGTATAAATAAGTCAACCCTTAGTATGTCTTTTAATTTTATCCAAATGCTGAATTTGTGATACAAACGCTGAATGTTTACAGCTGTTATGTTAAACAAATTTACTACACCAAAAGCTAGTTTTGAATCTTAGCGTCGGCTGCTAGACTTTTCAAAAATTAAAACTTAATTTCTAAATAACTGGGACCCTAAACTAAAATTATGGCTTCGACATTCCCTAGTTCTCAAAATTATCTTTCTTTCAACACAAAAATCATGACAATCCGTCGAGTGGTTGATTCAGAATCGTGAAATAAAAAAACACTGTTCCGTTTTAATATTATAGATTACTTTTAGATGTAAAGAATGAATACAAAATTAAAATTTAGCCTTATCCTCCCACGTAAGGGATCTGGCTGCATTTTGATTTTAACGTATAATAGTATAAGTAGCCTGGGAAACATCTGTGTTAAGTGGCAAAGTTTTTTGCCTAATCGATACCAATGCTGTTTTATTGCTCGCTGAATTAATGAGATTGACGAAAGATCTTACACAAGAAGCCAACTATATAAAAAAAAGTACCATTAAATGATTTCCGTAAAAATAGATTGACAAATGCTTAGGTGCAGATGCTGAATTGCTCAGTTGGCTTTATGTTAATTCTATTATATTGATCGCAGGATGGAAGATTATCTATAGAAACTTGGCCGGATTTATGTTGATGTGTTCTTATTGTTTCTAGCCAAAAATGGATTGCTAATGTCAGTGTGCCAGCAAACGTTTTGCTGTATTTGTTGGAGTTCAAACCATAATCACGAAAATCAATGTTAGGCTAATCGGTAACTTCACACTACACTTCACAGCATCAATATCAGTTAAAGTTATATTAACGGCAACAAAGTATACACAACCTTCCTACAAAGTAACACGACTACCTACTTCGTAAACACTGTGTTTACAAAGTAGTTAAAAAGTATTACTGACCTAAAGAATAATAGTTATAGTAGTACACAACGATCGCGTAAAAAGACTCGTGCCTTAGAAACTTCTACGAGTGTCTAACAGGATGATTTCACGACTTGCTCAAACTACTTTACCTACGGTCATTTTAATTAGGTTTGGAAAACTGCATAACCTTTTTACACGTGCGCTTGTTTGTCAGCGTTTCACGTAAAAGGCAAAGATCACTGTTCTTCATACAAAACCTAAACCAATTAGATACATAATACAACGGCTTTTAACATAGCTACTTTCAATTATATCCGGCCTTTGTTTTCCACAAAGATCCATAAAGTTTTACTTGTATTTACTTGTAAAATCATCGGATTAGATATATAGTCAGCTATAACCACTCGACATGTATTATGGCATTGGCAATGCAGTTTATATTCCTATCAGTATGGTAGACATTGATGAATGTTTGTGAATGGGTTATAATGTCATGAGTTTATTTGGTTTATTTTCTTAACAGTATGGTGGATATTGACGGATGTTTGTAAACCGGTGATCAGGTCATAGGTTTATACAGTTTATACTCCATGCAGTATGCTGGATATCTACGGATGTTTTTGGACAAGTGGCCGGGTTATGCGTTTTACAGTTTATAGTCCTAAAAGTATGATAGATTTTGACGGATGTTTGTGAACAGGTGGCCAGCCGCTCGACGGGCTTTGATCAAACCGATGTCTGAGCCGATGCTGATCCGGGAGATCAATCTCTCAGGATATTGAGGTACTATCATTATACTGTTCTTAAGCATGTTTCACTCTAGTAATAATAACATTTTCAAATGTCTGCTCACATTTACATACAATGTTGAAACTTCTATTATGTTTAAACTTCAAATTGTATATAAAACTAAATCTTAACGTGTTAGTGTAGTTGAATTTTAGCTATATTTTGGATAAAATCAGAGGGCTTGTGTCAGAATACCTTTACACAGTACTTTATAATTATTAGGAGTGGTTTAAGAAAATTAACTAAACAATACTAAAAAAAGTTTGTTAACTTCCGTAAATTAATTTAATTGCATTCTGCAATAAACCGAATTGCTTTCTTAGAGATTTTATTGTGACAGATTTTGTGTCATAAGGCAAAAAAATAACTCGGAGGCATTTCATTTTCCCTCTTTCCTATGCCCAAAACTTGATAACATCTCAATTTCTGATTTGTTAGAAGAATTACTAACAGAATCAGTTTATTTTATTCAGTGCCTGACTAAAATTTATTTGGTCTAATTAGGTTAATTCAATAATGAGGTTTACTGTATGATTTGAGTTGTCTAATCAAAGAATCGATCAACTACTTAAGTATAAAAATAGTTACAATTTGACAAAGTGTTTACCTTTTCAGAAGTGCCTTCCTGCATTTCCCCAGTATTGAAGACGCATTTTGAGATAGGTAAGGATGTTTACGCTCACGTAACCACGGTGAAAATTCAAGATGCTGGCCTAAGCAGATGATATGAATGTTGCTGAATCGAATTTACTAATTATAACTATATGTCAGAGTTTATAGCTGTTTAAACTGTCAACCGTTCTCAATAACATAATCTTCCTATGTACGCATTGTTAAGGACTGTTCTATTCATGCGGATTTGTTTTCCAAATCAGTTATTACCTCAGGAGCTCTATGTAATATTATAAACTTCATTCACTTGTTAATGTAGTTAACTTTTATATATCTATATTTTTATACTCATAATAAAGAAGTTTTAAACAATTGTTGTCGTCTTTTCACCAAGAAAATGTGTTTCCACAGCCATATATATATATATATATATATATATATATATGTATATATATGTATATATATATATATATAAATATATTTTATATATATCATAAGTGTGAGTAAAACACAAGCCACTTTTCAATAATAATAAATATATTGTAAAATAAAGTTCTTAAAGATTCCTCATACAACACAGTAAATCTTAGGTTTATACTGTACTGACAAAATAAAGGTCATGTTGTGGCCGACAAGAAGAACAATGTTCAAAGTGTTTAAGTTTGATTTCGTTTTATATTAGACATCAAATTATTTTCCTATAGCAGTAGCAAACGTGTTTTAACACATAATTAGTTATTAATAGTCAAGATTTAGTATGGAATAACCTGAACAAAACGTCAGAGGTTTCAAATCGTTATTTTTAAAACTCGACTGGTTGGTAATTGGCCATAAAATCAGACAAGGTAAAGACCATATTTATCTACAGCTTCCATTCCCCTTTTACTTTATAATAAGCTGTAAAAACCAAATCGTCACTCAATATAGCTCATAAGCATGTGTTGAGTCTTTCCATGTTGAAAACAGCTGATGAAACTGAGGGAGCATTAAACACACTAACTTGTATCCCCTTCTCGTACTTGTATGTGTGTTATGTTTTTATATTTAGACATTTATTTTAAGTCTAAATAAAAAAGCACTAGTGCAAGTAGTTGGTGATATGTTTAATGTATGTTTTTTTCTTACTTCAAAGTAAATTTTTGAATTTTCCCTCGACATTTTCTTATAATGTGAAAAAACAAAAACTTTTACAAAACAATTTTTGTGCTTAAACAGTTAAACATATAGAAACTAATAGTGAACAACAAAACTCCATAGTTCATAACCGTCCATAGTAGTGTATTGAACTATGGAAACCGTCCATAGTTTAATGACATTTACTCTTAAAGTTAAAACGTAAAGAGGTAACATCGATGATAGAGTCTAATGATAGTTCTACACTTTAGAACATACCAAGAATATACAGTTTAACAGTTTATGCGATCTATCTTTGAATTTCTCCATTCAAAATTTATGAATGAATGTACAGTACCAGTAGTTGTGGTTCTATCAATAAACTAGGCAGTTTGGAACTGTTTTATTTTGTACTGTATTCAAAATTTGACCTGCTCAAAAGATAAGAACGGTTCACCAGACCGTATTAACTCAGAATGACCATTGTGCGCTTGTGATATTACGTATAGTGCGCACTTTATAGCCTATACGATGAATTTCTTTCAGTAAATATATTACATTACGCAATCACCCAAAATATACCGATTAATGAGGAATGTTAGTAATCTTGGGTAACGTTTTAATTTTAACCCCTCCCTCCCCTTTGTTACAGCAGTTTCCGTTCAATAATTGTATTGTTGTGTATTTTGACGTCATCGTCTGTTGAATAAAAAAAGCAATACAATACAATATTAGAAAATAATATTTGGGTACCGGTATACATTGTCCTGGGAATAGATAGCCCCGGCTTAACATAGCTGACAACTAAATGTGTATTGTAAAGTACAGATGATTATGACGAAGGTAATGGCAAGTGGTTGCTGTCATTTTACAAAGATATCGTGACCTGACCGAGGCCGCGAGCATTGCAGTGTTCCGCCGTCGTGGATCGTTACATTTGGTCACGTAAGCGATCTATTGAATACTAAGTGATCCAGATTACATCTGAATGGCTTCCTATCATACTTTCAGTGAATAAATACATTTAGTCATCGCTACTTTTATAATAAATAGTGTTAAAATAATTCAAACTCGATTAAAAAAGAACTGACTATCTAAGCTTGTCTAAAGTTTACAATTAAGTTCCCTGTATTTAACATCTTGTGAATTAATGTGTATTTATAAGTATAAAGATGATATGTTTCAGAGTAGAATAGATAAATCCTTTGCTGACTTACTGGAGAACCTTTCTGCTACATAAGACCTACGGGGGTTTTAAATGCCGGGGAAAGTAGTTTTTTTATATGGTGCTATAGGGTTATTTTTAGCACTTTAAAAACAGAAAGTAAATATTTTATTGTATAAATAAATACACACTATAAAATATCTATACATTTCTAATACTTATTCGAAATGTTCAAGTTACTCATAATATTTCAACATGTCTGGTCAATGAATAAAATGTAATCTCGTAAACGTTAACCAAGAACTTGCAAGGTCACATAAACCTATTTTCATCCATCCCATTTATAGCTTTGTAATGCAGTTAGTTGACTAAAAGGCATTATAAAATACCTAAATGTTTATAAATGATTTTAGTGTGTAGGCCTTTGCATATGAACAGTTTTATCGGGCCCTAAATACAGTAAAAAAATAAGCTGTTTGACCAATTTCACTACTTATACAGAATGATGTTGTCTCTATAAATATCAATACATTCGTTTTATTTCACGATTATGACAAACAAAGTAAATATAGTTTACACTCATTTTTATTACAAATATTTCAATTAATAATAAAAAATATTGTTTCAGTATGTACTTTATATGTATAGTATATTGCACATGGATTATTAAAATGAAATGTAATATATAATTCAGAAGAAAAGAGCAATAAACAAATAACAATACCAGTGGAAAAAGTAAAGCTTTGCCTAGAACTTTAATATTGACTTGGAACAAGCAGAGACGCTTCCTTTGAAAACAAAAGATGAAATAAAATTCAAGAGTATCCAGGTAATGCTATTATCAGTCCCAAGCGTCAACATTGGAGCTGTTCTTCTGAGAAATATAAGCTTATCTATTGTTTACCCAGGTATTGACTGAATGCTAAAAGCTTACAACTCTTTTGTTTTACCGTCGAGGAAATACAAGTTGTTTAAAACCCTCAGAAATGTACACTGCCGTATGAATACTTCGTAACTGAAATGAATGCAAGCTCACTCATCATAGTTTTGGTATTATTTGTTTTAACAAACAAGACATATACGTTATAGAAAAATGCAGAAACCAAAGTAGGCAAGAAATATTAACTCCTCTGCATATTGTAAGAAGTGCTCAAATCATTAAGTAATATAATTTAAAATTGTATATAAATAATTTAACTGACGATTGAATTTCCCTCAATTTATAATATAAGATGATAGTGAATAGTTTTATTTGATAAATACTTTTACATTTGCATTTTTCATATCCTATACGGAAACATATTTTTCAACCCTATGCAGCAGATCCATAAGAATTAGGAATATACAAGGAGGTTAATCAATAGTTTTAAAGGCACTAATTCATCACTAATACACAATAATACTGATGTATATTATTCAATGTTAATGAGACAGGTGCGCTAGCTGGTCTAGTAGCAGAGCGCGAGCTGTAGGTCCCCTTTTTCAAATCCCACCAATTACCAATAAATTCTATCTTAGTGATAATGCCACGAACCATTATAGACAGAGACTAAATTAATATAGAAACAATTCCGAGCTTGTGCCCAAAGGAATTTTAACACAATTATACCTTAGGTTATTCTCGATCAAAGCGTTAAAAAAATACATTTGAATTTTCATACTTAAATACTTCAAACCCAACACGGATGTATTATACTGGAAATTTTTATTAATATATATACAGGATGTCCCGGAACTCTCTACCAATATTTTAGGGCATTGCTCCTGGGTAAGAAACATAACTAAATATCATATTTAAACCGTCCGGAAGTCCTTAGTTACCCACACAGCCGCCATTTTGTTTTTTTCAGTTATTAATTTTTTTCTAAAGAATGGTTTAACATACGAAATGGAAACTTTGCACAAACATTTATGACAACTAGACAAAGCTACCAAAAAATTATCACGATTATTCAAATTCATAAAACAAAATGGCGGCCATTTAAAATTGTTGTAAAATAAATGGTTTTTGAGTTATTTAAGAAAGAAAATTTTAAATGGCCGCCATTTTGTTTTATGAATTTTAAAAATCGTCATAATTTTTTTGGAGCTTTGTCTAGTTGTCATAAATGTTTGTGAAAAGTTTCCATTTTGTATGTTTAACCATTCTTTAGAAAAAAATTAATAACTGAAAAAAACAAAATGGCGGCTGTGTGAGTAACTAAGGACTTCCGGACAATTTAAATATGATATTTAGGTACGTTTCTTAACCAGGATCGATGCCCTAAAATATTGGTAGAGAGTTCCGGGACACCCTGTATAAAGAGAAACATTTATATGTTTGTATTACAATCGATTTAGAGTATAAAAAGTGAGTTTTATACCGTCATAAAAAATATAGGCTATGTTTTATAATTAAAAGGTTGTGTTATTTATACAATAGTAGCTCATTAGTATAACTCTAATATTTTATTAGTTAAATTATGCTCAGTTTAGTAGTAAATAAACCATTAAATTGGTGCAATCCTTCCTGAAACAAGTTTAAATATAAATGGAACATATTTGAGCATACATAGGCCTACATAGCAATATGTGTACAATTGAAACTATCAACATTTTCCTTAAAGTTTGAACATGTGTACTGTTGTTTATTGATACCTATCCTACTATTTTTGAAAAGGGAAACCAATATTTACAAAAAAAAATAGTTATCTCACAATAATGAATTGTTTCCTATAATTTGTATGTAATATACATAAGAAAACATACAGTATCATAAAATTGTTTGGAAATTAAATTTTCTGTCATTAAAATTATTACATTATACTACAATATCAATTAGTCGATCTTTTAATAAATTATCTAATATACTTAATAATCTGTTACTATAGTTTTGTTCATGTAATACATGCAAAGCAGTTAAAAATATCCTACAAAAAAAAACCAAATACTATGAAAATTTAAATACTATACCCACTCACTGCAGGCTACTTCTAAAATAACCATAACAAATTGCATAATTAAATCTGTATTCCAAAGAGAATAAAAGATCTCCCTTTCACACAGCCAAACATAGGTATATA